GCTGTTTAATCGTTAGCTGCCAAGCAACCAGTATTGTATACCAGCAGCCTATTTAGCTGTCAGTTGGGGATTCTGGCTGACAGCTGAATGTAGTCAAAATGGTGGGGATGGTGGCTGTTAGGGGAAAAAAAAACCGTGTGGGGCACCAAAAAAAAATTCATACTACACCTTAAGGTCTGGTATTTGTTTTAAGAGGATCCCACACAAAAAAAATTGAATTTCAAGGGAGACTCTACACTGGTTTAGACCCTTAAGATTCTTAAGGCCCTTCTGACCTTCAGTTGCTCTGGATCTGAGGAGAAACTCTGAATTGAGGGGAAGCTCTGCTGATTTATATCATCCAATCATGTGCAAGCAAAAATGCTGGGTTTTTTTATATTCCTTGCATGTGATTGGGTATTCTTTGCAAAGTGAAGCGTTACCTTGTTTACTAAGCTCTGGAGCAAGTGCACTTGCAGTGCACAGTATATTTGCCTTTATTAAATCAACTCCAATGAGTCTAGGGTTTAAGACTGATGGCGTCTTCCAGTTTCATAAGTAAAACCCCCAATAGGCCCTTTCACTCCATATGGGGAAGAGAAAGTCAGCTTTAAATGGGGGGGATTCCTATGATCAGACGAAAGTCAGGCAACAACAAAATGTGTAGAATCAGCTATAGGCTGTCTATTCTTCCACAAATCAGGACTGACAAAAAAAGGTCAAGCCTAAAACGAGAGGTGCTACCACATGAAGGTAGTAGTTGCTGAGCACCTACTCATACATTCATAATTTGACCTCCTTCTTCCCATCCTTCTTCATGTCTTCTACTTCCTACCCTTCTTCTTCCTCCATTGCCCTTTGCCCATTCACAAAATGCTTTGTATTCTAGAACAAGTTCACAGTTCTGTGAATGGCCAAAAGGAGTGTCATGTACCTTGGTTGAAGGCCGAGTTGGGCTGCCCTTGCGGCTCTGGTCCGAACACCCCTAAATGTGGTGACAGAGGTACAAGGCTCAAACCACAGGTGTCGATAGCTTGATAGCAGGTGATTGCCATGGTCAGGAATGTAGTCAGGTTGAGCCAGTGTTGTACACATTGAGACAGTGACGTGGTTTTTCCCTGTTATTCTCATCTGTTGCTGCTGCCGCCAACATTTCCATATCCTGGCATCTCTCCTTTTTCTCCTTCCCCTCTTTCCTTTTGTTGAAAACTCAATTAAGCATCTTAAATCCAAAAAAAGCTAAAGCTCTCTTTTTCAGAACAGAACTATGTCCTTTCTGCTTCAAGATTTGTGTACGTTCTCCCTGCCCTGTGTCTCTAAGTTTAGGTCTGTGCTTGTTGTCTTGAAAATGTGATCTTAGTGACCAATTTGACCTAGACCAGTGGTCGGCAAGCCACGGCTCGCGAGCCACATGCGGTTCTTTACAAACTTAAATGCAGCTCTTCTGTGTGCCGGGCGCCCGCTCCCCTCCCTCCTCTCGGGCGGCCGCCCCAAAAGTCAGGACTCTGCAGCTGTCAGGATGTAGGCGGGGCAGCCAGGATGTAGGCGGGGCAGCGTGACAAACTCCTCTCCTCTCACAGTCTGCCCTGAAGACCAGAACGGCGCGGGAACATGGCGAGAAGAACGCGCGGAGCAAAGGTAAGTGAATTGACACGGAGGGACTTGGGGACTTAATATGGGGGATGAATTACTATATGGGGGATGAATTACTATATGGGGGATGAATTACTATATGGGGGATTACTTACTGTGGGGGCTGAATTACTATGTGGGGGCTGAATTACTATGTGGGGGCTGAATTACTATGGGGGATGAATTACTATGGGGGATGAATTGCTATATGGGGGATGTATTTTCAGTTTTAAAAATGTGGCTCTCAAAATAAATTTCAATCTTGGTTTTGGCGAGATTTGGCTCAGTTGAAAAAAAAGGTTGCCCACCACTGACCTAGACCCAAAGAGCAACATTTAAAGTGGTTGTAAACTCTCTCAGATACACAGTGAAATGAATAGCCTTAGATGGTGCACAGAGATTAAACAAATCCTCCTACATAAGCTTTAGATAAAAGCTTTCTCTATCTGTCACTAGCACAGAGGAGGGGGCAGGGAGCTGCAGTTAGAGCTCTTGTACAGTGTGTGAGAGCTGACTGGAGGAAAGGGACATACCCCCTTCCACACACAGCACAGGAACAAAGGAACATGCAGAGCTGTGTTGTGAATAGACAACCTGTGTGCTATGCTCTCCTCCTCCCTGTCACCATTTTATCTCTGGTGTCAAAATAACTTGTCAAAAGTGATATATGCTGATAACAGATGCACCAGAGAGAAATGACACTCTGAGCTTTGGAGAGAGACAAATAAACACTACAGATATGTTTTGTTCAGATTTCATGACTGATGTTTACAACCACTTTATGGAGCCACTTGAAATTCACTACCCACCCTGCAAGCAACGATGAATGGCTCCCAGGTTACTGCAGAACAGCTCCTAAGTTGCCACTGTTGGATACAGTGGCTTTTAAAAAAATGAAATCAGAAAATGAAAAAAATAGCCCGTAGTAAACTGAAATCCATCCAGTCCACTGCCGCACCTTCTTTATTTTCCACTCCCATTATAGGCATGTACCAGTGTCGGAAAGTTCTATGTAAAACCTGCTCCTTTGTTCAGCATGGCAAAAGGGTTTTAGTACTAGAGGCAAGGACATCCAGCTTTGTAGTTTATTGGCTTATGTGCTCATGTGGTCTCCTTTACGTAGGTCGTACTACCCAGACCTCCGTTCAAGATTTGGCGAGCACCGTTGCCTAATCGAAGGAGGAAAAGATGAACATAGTGTCCTCAGACACCTCCTAGAGGTCTATAACAAGTCCACCATTGGGCTTTGGGTTTGGGTCATCGAGGCCATGCCCTCTGACCTCCCTAAGGCGGAGCGTTTTCACAGGCTCTGCCACAGGGAAACTTTTTGGATCCATGCCCTTGATACCTTGTCCCCAGCTGGCCTCAATGAGGAGCAGAAGATAGTTGCCATAATATAATGAATATTACCATCTCTGTACTATACATCACTACTATTCATCTTTGGAACAATGTACAGCATGATGATTTCCCACTAAAATTTACAGGTTTTTTTCCCTTTTGTCTTGGGGATGGTCCACATCCTACTACTCGTGGGTGGTCATATTTGTAGTAAGTACTACCAGAGAGAAATATGTGCATTAGACAAACTTATTCTAGTCATCAAATCATTTACTATACCATTCTCCAATTGGATGCTGATGTGTACACATTTATACACCAATATTTATTATTATTACTCTGTATTGACCATCGATGCATGCGTGCGTATATGTAGACACATCACTATAGCTATGCCCACTATGAATCCATAAGTTTTAACACCAACCAATTAATTATACACTTATACCATCCTTTACCAGCCCAATTGCTCTTAATCTCATCTTTTGAATTCACATATTCATTGTTCATCTATTGTTCAGTCCACTAGGGGACTGCCCATAGTACATTTACTGCTACAAGGCGGCCCCTGTGCGCAGGATCACGTATATAAATGTGATCCTGCATTTAGGAGTAGGGGGCATGCGCTACCGCCCTACCCATGGCACCAATTGTGGCCATGGGTGTCAATCACTGGGTCCCGGCCGATGATTACCCAGCGATTGCCGGCAAACACTGACGGGGAGGAAGGCTGCATTGTTTTCAGTGGAGCTCTCCTCCCTGTTAGTTATCAACACACTGTTCCGGATCGCTGGACACAGCCTTGCAGAACAGTGTGTAACAAAGAAGTACACCCGCCCGCCCCCTAGTAAAACACTCCCCCCCTCACACAGTTAATCCTTTCATTGCCTCCCAATGTTAACCCCTTCCTCCCCAGTGCCATTAGTACAGTGTCAGTGGATTTTTTTTTTTGCACTGATCACTGTATTGGTGTCACTGGGGATTTCAGTGACCCCAAGTCAGTTCCCCTCCAGTGTCAGAATGTCCCCCGCAGTCCCGCCATAAGTCGCTGATCGCCGCCATAAGTCGCTGATCGCCACTATTATTAGTATAAAAAAAATCCAGTATCTATACCGCAATTTGTAAACGCTATAACTAGAGATGAGCGAATTATTCAAAAATTCGATTAGACTGATTCGGCGAATTCGTGAAAAAATTTCGATTCGAGTCGAATATATTCGCTGCGAATTTAACTTCTAAAAGGGTGTTTCTAGGCTTCAGAGAGCCTTTATATTAGTGCAGAACACTGTACCTTTAATTTAAATGCCCTTGGAGTCTGCTGGGGAAGAGAAATAATACTGACAGTCAGTATGACATGCAGATGAGTGCCGTCGATCTTAGAATCACCGCACACTTCACTCATTTGGGCAGTCACGGGGCCAAAACCAGAGTGTGGAGCCACAGTGTGGCGGTGGAGGCAGCAGCAATGGGAGGCCATACAGCACCCTATGACAAAAATGGAAACCACCAGCAGTGTGAGGAGACCTGAAAGTGGCACACGGCAGAGTGTGGCGATGGAGACAGCAGCAATGGGAGGCCGTACAGGGACCCATGACACACTCTGGACCTGGCAGCAGCATGAGGAGGCGGTACAGGGGCCCATGACAGATTACGGGCCTGGCAGCAGCATGAGGAGTCGGTACGGGGGCCCATGACACACTCTGGGCCTGGCAGCAGCATGAGGAGGCGGTACAGGGGCGCATGACAGATTACGAGCCTGGCAGCAGCAACTTGGACAGGAGGACGTTCAGCTTCTGCACCGTCGGGTGCGTGCTCGCAAACTGTTGTCTCTTGGAAACTGATTCCAAGAAAGACTGCTGACGGAATCCGTGAAGAGGAGTAGCAGGAGAAGGAGCATCTGAACGAGCGGAATATGCCGACAAGCGACAACAGGGGCCCATGACAGATTACGGGCCTGGCAGCAGCATGAGGAGTCGGTACGGGGGCCCATGGCAGATTACGGGCCTGGCAGCAGCAATGGGAGGCCCGTAATCTGCCAGCACCCTATGACAAAAAATGGAACACACCAGCAGTGTGAGGGAGACCTGAAAGTGGCACATGGCAGAGTGTGGCGATGGAGACAGCAGCAATGGGAGGCGGTTCAGGGACCCATGAGACACTGTGGACCTGGCAGCAGCATGAGGAGGCGGTACAGGGGCCCATGGCAGATTAAGGCCTGGCAGCAGCAATGGGAGGCCCGTAATCTGCCAGCACCCTATGACAAAATGGAACACTGGGCTGGGGCAGGCAGAACCGCCGTATCTTTATCACGGTTTTCCCAGGCCACCGAATGGCGACGCTGCATATGCTGACGCAACGCTGTAGTCCCAACATGGGCCCCCTGGCCACGCTTGACTTTCTGGCCACATAGTCGACATACGACTACGTTTACTTCCTCGGGTGGCTTGACGAAAAATTGCCACACTGCTGAGTAGGAAACTTTGCCCCCGCTACTCCTCACTGGCTGACTGCTACTTCCTCCGTGCACACCGGCACCACTACTGGCCGTGGTGGTAGGCTGCAGTGGAGCTGGTGCTCTACTCCGTGGCCGTTTGCCTCCACTGACACTGCTGCGACCCTGCTGCCTCCTGGCAGCAGCAATGGGAGGCCGTACAGGGACCCATGACACACTCTGGACCTGGCAGCAGCATGAAGAGGCGGTACAGGGGCCCATGGCAGATTAGGGGCCTGGCAGCAGCAATGGGAGGCCCGTAATCTGCCAGCACCCTATGACAAAAAATGGAACACAACAGCAGTGTGAGGAGACCTGAAAGTGGCACATGGCATGAGACACTGTGGACCTGGCAGCAGCATGAGGAGGCGGTACAGGGGCCCATGGCAGATTAGGGGCCTAGCAGGAGCTATGGGAGGCCCGTAATCTGCCAGCACCCTATGACAAAAAATGGAACACACCAGCAGTGTGTGAGGAGACCTGAAAGTGGCACGTGGCAGAGTGTGGCGATGGAGACAGCAGCAATGGGAGGCCGTACAGGGACCCATGAGAGACTCTGGACCTGGCAGCAGCATGAGGAGGCGGTATAGGGGCCCATGGCAGATTAGGGGCCTGGCAGCAGCTATGGGAGGCCCGTAATCTGCCAGCACCATATGCCAAAAAATGGAACACACCAGCAGTGTGAGGAGACCTGAAAGTGGCACATGTTTGGGGCATGATTCATGGCGGATTTAGTCAGTTGTGTCAGGAACTGGTGGTTTGAAATCCAGACTAATCCACGCCTGATTCATTTTCACAAACGTGAGTCTCTCCACACTTTGGGTGGATAGTCGTGTCCTCCGGAGTTACAATACCTCCTGCCGCACTAAACACGCGCTCCGATGCCACGCTACTGGCCGGGCATGACAGCCTTTCAAGGGCAAATTCAGCTAGTTGGGGCCAAAGGTCAAGTTTCGTTGCCCAGTAGTCAAGGGGATTGTCTACCTCGGTTGGCAGGGTGCTGTCCAAGTAGGCCTAAGCCTGTTGTTTGAGGTCCTGCTCCAGGTCCACCTGATGCTGCTGCTGCTGCGGCTGGTTAGTAGTTTCCTCACTGCACTGGTGAAGAAAGCTACTCATCATCGACTGCAGACTGAGGCAGCCGCTGCTGGTGGAGCTGCCACTGCTCCTACCACCCCACCCCTCCCCTGCTGCCATGGCAGCGGAACGCGAGCGCACAGGGTCCACAGTGTCTGAGGATGGACGTTGGCGCAGAAAGCAGAGACCAACTGACTACATAGGTGGTTTTTATAGTACGTTATTTTGGCCTCCCTCTCAGCAGGTGTGAAAAAGGCCACCATTTTTGAACGGTAGCGAGGGTCCAACAAGGTGGACAGCCAAAAGTCATCCCTCTGTCTGATGGTTATTATTCGGCTGTCGCTACGCAAGCAAGCGAGCATGCTATGGGCCATTTGTGCCAAGGAATGCGATGGACTCCCTGCCTCCATCTCCACAGCATACTGCCACGGTGCGTCTGGGTCCTCTGTCTCCTCCTCCTCCTCCTCTACCAGATGCTCCTGCTCCTCCACTCCTGTCCGCTGAGTGGAAAAACCACCCATTTCACTCAATAATTCCTGAGCACCAATGTCCTCCTCTACCTCCTCCTCTTCTTCCTGTCCTGCCCCCACAGGGGTCATGTGGCGTTGAGATCTGTGCACCACGTCTACCGCACCCTGACCAGCCATTGTTAACAGCATTTGTTCCAGGACGTGCAACAGAGGAATGACATCGTTCATCCCATAGTCCTGCCAACTCACGAATAGCGTGGCCTCCTCAAAGGGCCTGAGCAAGCGCAGGTGTCACGCATGAGCTGCCAATGGCTGACATCGAAGTTACACAGGGGAGTACCTTTATCCGCTTGTAACATCAGGAAATCTGTGAGGGCCTTTCGCTGTTCGTAAAGGCGGTCTAACATATGTAGGGTTGAATTCCACCTTGTTGCAACGTCACAGCATGAGGAGTCGGTACGGGGGCCCATGGCAGATTACGGGCCTGGCAGCAGCAATGGGAGGCCCGTAATCTGCCAGCACCCTATGACAAAAAATGTAACACACCAGCAGTGTGAGGAGATCTGAAAGTGGCACATGGCAGAGTGTGGCGATGGAGACAGCAGCAATGGGAGGCCGTACAGGGACCCACCGACTCGCTGCCAAGCTGCCACCCCTCTTCTCCTGATGATGCGGAAGCAATAGCCTGATGACGACGAGGCTGCCAAGTGCGATCAGCCTCATCATCATCAATTAGGGTCTCCGCCTCACTACTAGCCCCCTCGGCTGCGCGTGGGTCAGGAGAGACAGACCTGTCTCTAGACCGGCTACCAAGCCACTCTCCTCGCCACTACTTCTTCGCCTGGCTGCTGAAGAGGCGGATGTCTCCCCCCGTTCCTGACCGCCCTCTGTTAGCTCTTCCTCACTGTACAGTGGGGCTGAGCCTACAGCATGCGATACTTCGCTTGGTGAGGGAACACCAAAGGACAGGGGCAGGTAGAGGACACGTGATTTCAGTGGGCTTGCTCCCGGGCCATGCCAACTAACGGTTGTGTCTGACGTACCCACCGACCGTTGGCTGTAGGTGTCAGAGGTGACCTGGGAAGAGGAAGACGACCGAGCCAACCAATCGATGATGGCAGGGTTGTCGGTGGAGACACGACCTCTGGATGACACCGGGAGCACTGGCCTCTGGCTGCGACTAGTGCTGCCTCGACCCCTTCCTCTGCTGCCACGTCTGCTCGCTCCTAAAACATTGCCTCCTCTGCCACTCCTCTGCATGTTGTCTGACATACTCTTTAATTAAACGATTCTGTGTCCCTGAGTAACAATTCTGTGTCTGTCCCTGAGTAACAATTCAGTGTCCCTGAGTGAGTAACAATTCTGTGTCCCTGAGTAACAATTCTGTGTCCCTGAGTAACAATTCTGTGTCCCTCAGTAACAATTCTGTGTCTGTCCCTGAGTAACAATTCTGTGTCTGTCCCTGAGTAACAATTCTGTGTCTGTCCCTGAGTAACGGTTCTGTGTCCCTCAGTAACGGTTCTGTGTCCCTCAGTAACGGTTCTGTGTCCCTCAGTAACAATTCTGTGTCTGTCCCTGAGTAACAATTCTGTATCCCTCAGTAACAATTCTGTATCCCTCAGTAACAATTCTGTGTCTGTCCCTGAGTAACGTTTCTGTGGCCCTCAGTAACAAATCTGTGTCCTTCAGTAACAATTCTGTGGCCCTAAGTAACGTTTCTGTGTCCCTAACTCTCTCCCTGAATACAGCCAGGTCTGCCTCTGTTGAATGACTGGAGGCAAATGGAGAATTCTAAAATGGCCGCCATTTATAGCTCGACCATTACACAGTGCTGGCTGGCTGGCTGCTGATTGGCTAATGCGATCACATGTCATGAATGAATGCATTATGGGTCAGTGCACCTTGTCTGCGCGCCTTCCCAGACATCCCCGCTCCGTCGCCGCACATGTCGCCGCCATTTTAGGAAAAATTTCGAAATTTTCCTAATATTCGAAACGAATTCCACTTCGCCTACTTCGATTCGCTCATCTATATATATATATAGCTATAACTTTCACGTAAACCAATTAATTTACATGTATTGGGATTTTTTTTGTAGCAAAGACATGTCACAGAATACATTTTGGCCTAAATTTATGACGAAATTGGATTTTAAATTTTTTTACTGGACATGTTTTATAGCAAAAAGTCCAAAATATTTTTTTTTTTCTCAATTTTCGGCCTTTATTTTTATAGCACAAAAATATAAAAAACGCACTGGCAATCAACTACCACCGAAAGAAAGCCCAATTCGTGAGGAAAAAAGGACGTAAATTTCATTTTGGTGCAACGTTGCATGACCGCGCAATTGTCAGTTAAAGTGATGCAGCGCCATAACACAAGTCGCTTATGTAACCGCTTCCTGACCGCCCTATAGCAGAAATACTGCTACAGGGCGGCACGGGTGCGCAAAATCACATATATACATACATACATGATTCACGCTCCTGTGGTTTTCACGACCCTCTCTGATAGTTTGTCAGTACACCAGTAATCACATTTAACTTCCTGATTGCCAGAAACATGCTCATACACAATAAACCTCCATTGCTAGTATAGTGTCTGAACGAATCAATATCTTTGGTCAGATGAGCACTATACCAGCATTCACATTAGTATAGTGTCTCCAAAAACGCAGCGTTAGCGGGGTCAGCCTACGCTTACCCCCCCCCCCCTTCTCCCCCATCAAGTGCAGTGTCAGTAGGTCACTGTCACTTGATACATTGCACACAAAACTGCAGTGTTTGCAGAATCAGACCTGATCTCTGTTATCTCCGGTAAATTTTGATGACTCTCATATGCAGCAGAGTGCCAGTAATAGTGCCGCGCTACCTTTTGGTGAACTGGCGAGCACCAGCGGCCTAGTACATCCTGGTCTTTCACATACCAGCACTGAAGTATCACTTGGTGACGTGGCGAGTCCCATAAGTGTAGTACAAGCTGGTGCGGTGGCGAGCACAAGTGTTGTCCCGCAACCACTAAGAATTTGCCTGTAGAGCACCTAGCATCTTTCCCGATGTGCTTGCAAATCCTGATTGGCAGCCCACAAATTCTGCAGCACCTGTACTTCCCCCATTCGCTGCCCAATCCGGAATTCAGGTGGAAACAGCAAATTTAACTACTCCCCTTGATTTTTTTTTGGAGCTGTTTTTCACGGACGATCTGTACAGTATGCATTCATTGTGGATCAAAGCAATTTATATGCACAACAATTTATCGCCGCCAACCCAAATTCAAACCTTGCCAGACCATTTGCATGGAAACTCATTACGGTTTCCAAATTAAATTTTTTTTTTTGGAACTAACCCTCAACATGGGCATTACTAAAAAATATTAATTGCAGTTGTATTGGTCCACAGACCCGATTCATCATATGCCCGTGTTCTCTGCTGCCATGGCCAGGCATAGATATGCGAATATAATGTGCTTTTTGCATTTGCAAGGACAATACACTCTGTCGTCCTTGAGGTGACCCTGAATTTGACCGGCTCCACAAAATTCAGCCCCTCGCAAATCACCTTAACCAAAAATTTGCAGATGTCTATACTCCCCAGCAAAAAAATCTGCGTTGATGAGTCCCTCATTAATTTTTCTGGCCGCCTTGCATTCAAACAATTTCTCCTCAGCAAGCGTGCCAGATATGGGGTCAAGATGTAGAAGACCTGTGAGAGGGCAACAGGCTTTGGATTTATGAGGGAAAAGATAGTCACCTGGAGCCCCCCGGATGCCTAGACTACATGGGGAGCAGTGGCAAGAACGTTTGGGACTTGGTGTCATTGTTTTTTCATATGGGGTACCACATATACGTGGACAATTTTTATTCAAACGTGCCACTATTTAGACATCTGTACAATCTTGGAACTGGCGCTTGTGGAAAAGTGTGACCTAATGTGTGCCCACCATTAGAAGTGGGTGGATGCAGGGCGGTATATTCTAATGGTGGGCATACCACACACTTTTTCTGGCAGAGATTTCTTCTCTTTTTTTTCATTC